GTACAGGGAGATTGGTGATGGTACAGGGAGATTGGTGATGGTACAGGGAGATTGGTGATGGTACAGGGAGATTGGTGATGGTACAGGGAGATTGGTGATGGTACAGGGAGATTGGTGATGGTACAGGGAGATTGGTGATGGTACAGGGAGATTGGTGATGGTACAGGGAGATTGGTGATGGTACAGGGAGATTGGTGATGGTACAGGGAGATTGGTGATGGTACAGGGAGATTGGTGATGGTACAGGGAGATTGGTGATGGTACAGGGAGATTGGTGATGGTACAGGGAGATTGGTGATGGTACAGGGAGATTGATTATGTTACAGGGAGATTGATGATGGTACAGGGAGATTATTGATGGTACAGGGAGATAGTTGATGGTAAAGGGAGATTGATGATGTTACAGGGAGATTATTGATGGTACAGGGAGATTGGTGATGGTACAGGGAGATTGGTGATGATACAGGGAGATTGGTGATGGTACAGGGAGATTGGTGATGGTACAGGGAGATTGTTGATGGTACAGGGAGATTATTGATGGTAAAGGGAGATTGATGATGGTTCAGGGAGATTGTTGATAATACAGGGAGATAGTTGATGATACAGGGAGATTGATGATGATAAAGGGAAATTGGTGATAATTATAAAAATCAAAAGATGAAGTAGGTAAATTAAAGTTGTATACACCATGTGTTATTTGTCTTGTTTTGTATGTTTGTGGTAGTTTTTAAGCGTTTGTTCAGGGGCATTACGTTGCATCTCTAAAATTTTGGTATGAACAGAGTTGTTAAAAAGTATCCCATTTGTGAAAAAATAAATTACCTGTGACCCATGATAATTTTATTGAAAACTGACCAAGAACTATTATTTATTATCCTCTTGAAAGTTGATATGCAGCAAGAACAACCCCCAGCCCTTGGAAAAATGAAAATCAGTTTCTATAAATTTAAAGCAGATTAATTTTCAGAACATAAATGTTTCTTAAGTTTCAGGGCTTCTTCTAACCTCGAAATTTGTATATGATGCCCATACTTTTGAAAATTTTGTCGAAATTTGTATGTCTCACATGGCTTTGAATTTTGTGAATCTTGGATGTTTTAAATTACTTTAACCACATAGAAGGTTTCATGGTTAAGAGGAACACTACCCTAATATTGAAATATTGTTCACAGCACCAAAAAACGATTTTGCTCTCTTTTATTGTGGGTATTGAAGTACTTTAGATCGGAGTCTTAAACCTTTATCCCTGTGTGTTAGCTGCGCCAAGCTCGATCTGAGAAACCTGCTAATGACCAGGCTATCTGGCTTTGTGGCTGTAATATGTGGTGATTGATGATAAGATGGAACCCGTGAAACCTTGCAATAATGACATTTCTACAATGTATTGACGGTTTAATTCTGTATACGTCGTTTTCTGGTGCATATCACACACCACAGGTGCATCTTTTTAAGTGCAGAACATGCACCACACCTGTAGACATCTTATTGAAGCATGGAATCAATTTTAAGGATCCCCGTTCCACTGCCAAAAGCTGTAACTATGCGTTGGAAACTTTTTTCTGGCCTGATCATATAAAAGCTTTGATAAATCATTTCTAAAATGAACATACCTTGGGAAACTTTTTTGAAAAAAAATTGTGAAAATGAAATAAATAAAATAACTAGTGTTCTGAGATTAAAAATACAATGAGACCAGACCAAAATTTGAGTTCTTGACCACCCATCATTATACCGTCGCTCTAACCAACTGAGCTACCTGGTCAACAATATATAGTACCTACATGACCCAGTTCCGCTACAGTTATATCCTAAATTGAAATAAAGGGGAGGATACTGTAAACGCAAAAAAATAAAGTGGAACTCTCCAGGGGTTTGCCTGTAGTGGGACTGGGATCCTTAACTCCAGTCGTATGATTGTTAATTATAAGTGTCAATCTGGCTGGCCATAGGTAATATAGCAGATCTATTTAACTACATGTAGAAGAGTCTAGAACAGTGATTTAGTTCCAGTGGGACAGCCCGATTGGACCAAACATCGTCAATACTTAATTGGCCTCGGAGCTCGTCTGATCTACTACAGCTAGCACTTCAATCAGATTCCCTAATGATTTTAACAGGGATGACATGTAACATGAACAGGATAAAAAATGAATGAGATTTTATGTTATTTTACAGAGTACAAATAAAAGGCAGGTACGACAAATGGAGACCATTATCTTCCCCGCTGATTTTATAGTCGTTTTAATTTATTCATGGCTTAACAACATTGATCCTGGCCAGTTTGTGCCTGGAGGGTTCCCTGAACATTGATCAAGCTATAAGCACAATTCATTAAAGTTTAGTCAACTGTCCTCCAGACAAGTGGGCTAGACGTTGTTACCTTGTACACACAACCCCAACCATGTACGAACCTCTGTGCACTGGGAATCTGTTTTTTGACTTTTTGGAAAACCTTGGTACATTCAGTAATTTTACTTGCCAATTGCATGCAATGCAGTTTTTTCCCGACCAATCTCAATAAAAAAATAAATTATTATCAGTAAGGCCTTACATAGCTTTAAGGAATAATGCAACATGTACATGTAACTGTATTTGTTCTGATAGGCACCTTGGGCACTTGGAAAACTTATGATTGCTGTATCTTCTAAATGTCTGAAATAAAGTTGTTCTAATAAACACATTTGTTATAAGTAAGTTGGTAAATTATGGTGAATTGGAAATTACCACTTTCACTAGAAAAGCGGCTTGGTATGTGGGGGTGGGATGTACTTAAAAAGGGTCAGGACAAAGGTGAAATCAGGTTGAATGTTATCTAACTCGGAACACTGAATCATACCAATGCATTTTTTCTGTTTTGACTGATATCTTGATGCATAAGGTCCATTGGATGTCTAAGATCCCCTTGTATCTTAGATCCCTTGGTATCATATATATTCTGATGTCTTAGGCCTGGTCTTACGTTTCCTGATGTCTTATAAGTCACCTTGTATCTTAGATCCCTTGGTATCTTATAAATTCTGATGTCTTAGGTGTCCTGATGTCTAATAGGTCCACTTGTATATTAGATCCCTTGGTATCTTATATATTCTGATGTCTTAGATATCTCGGCCTCTGATGTCTTAGCTAGGTGTCCTGATGTCTTATAGGTCCACTTGTATCTTAGATCCCTTGGTGTCATATATATTCTGATGTCTTAGATATCTCGGCCTCTGATGTCTAAGGTGTCCTGATGTCTTATAGGTCCACTTGTATCTTAGATCCCTTGGTATCTCATATATTCTGATGTCTTAGATATCTCGGCCTCTGATGTCTTAGATGTCCTGATGTCTTATAGGTCCACTTGTATCTTAGATCCCTCGGTGTCTTATATATTCTGATGGCTAAGGTTTCCTGATATCTCCTTATGTTTCCTGAGACTTCCTAGGTTTCCTGATGTCTCCCAGGTTTCCTGATATGTCCTATGTTTCCTGAGACTTCCTAGGTTTCCTGATGTCTTAGGTTTCCTTAGACATCCTAGGTTTCCTGATGTCTCCCAGGTTTCCTGATATGTCCTATGTTTCCTGAGACTTCCTAGGTTTCCTGATGTCTTAGGTTTCCTGAGACATCCTAGGTTTCCTGATGTCTTAGGTTTCCTGAGACATCCTAAGTTTCCTGATGTCTCCTAGGTTTCCTGATGTCTTAGGTTTCCTGAGACATCCTAGGTTTCCTGATGTCTCCCAGGTTTCCTGATGTCTTGGGTTTCCCGACACATCCTAGGTTTTCTGATGTCTCCCAGGTTTCCTGATATCTCCTCTGTTTCCTGAGACTTCCTAGGTTTCCTGATGTCTCCCAGGTTTCCTGATGTCTTGGGTTTCCCGACACATCCTAGGTTTTCTGATGTCTCCCAGGTTTCCTGATATCTCCTATGTTTCCTGAGACTTCCTAGGTTTCCTGATGTCTCCCAGGTTTCCTGATGTCTTAGGTTTCCTGAGACATCTTATGTTTCCTGATGTCTCCCAGGTTCCTTTTTCTTTTAGGTCCCTTTATCTCAGATCCCTTAGTGTCTTTGATTGTGCTGCACAACAAACAAACTTCTATTTGAACTTCCTTGGTAGTTTCTATTTCTGGGTAGTTTCTATTTGAACTCTCTGGGTAGTTTCTATTTCTATTTGAACTTTCTGGGTAGTTTCTATTTCTATTTGAACTTTCTGGGTAGTTTCTATTTCTTGCTAGTTTCTATTTCTATTTGAACCTCTCTGGGTAGTTTCTATTTCTTGCTAGTTTCTATTTCTATTTGAACCTCTCTGGGTAGTTTCTATTTCTATTTGAACTTTCTGGGTAGTTTCTATTTCTATTTGAACTTTCTGGGTAGTTTCTTTTTTTATGATGCGTGTGGAACAAGGTTGTGTCATCTATGGTCATTATTTCTGTCTGATGATCAAAACTCAGATGGAAACCATTTGGAAATATCTGTCAAGGTTTGAATTTAAAGTTGCTATTTACAATATTGGTCCCTGATTTTGCAAACATTATGATGGACATCAGCCTAATTCGGCCCACTGTGGCTTAGTGAGTGGATGTCAGTGTTTTAGAGTCGAGACACCGGCCATTTACACTCTTTGCTTGACAAAGGAAACAGACGTTCCTGTCTTCCTGTTTGTTTTCAAAACAAACTTAGCCTTCATTATTCATACCATACCATACCAAACTGATGGATCATTTTCCGAATTATGATGGAAAGACCTGACCACAGTTTCCAGTTGGAAATCCTTCATGTTACAGTATTGGTTCTTGGTATCGTGATTTCGTGGCAGGGTTTGAGTTTGGATAACTATAAAGAGAGGCTGTATTGCATAACTGTAAATCTATAGTATTTAACTGCTAAAGGTAAAAACACTGCGTGTGATGACAACTTTGATACGGAAATATTTAAAGTTAAAAAAAAGTTTCACAGATGATTTGTCAATCAAATATTGTAATCAGTGAATTCATCTTGGCATCACACTTTGTTTGTTTATCAGGAGCTGTAGAGTCAGCAATACCACAAGATCTGCCTGAAACGGAATTCTCCAAAGAAAATCTCAATGAAAACTCAGAACAAGATGCAGAGAAAATAATGGCTGCCATGGAGTCAGAAATGGGGGTTGTCCCAAGTGGGGACAAGGGAGTGCTTGGAGTACCTGTGGTGGGCTCTCTGATGACTGAAGGTAACTTAGCTGTACAGTATATGTGGTGAAATTTTATCCCTATATGAAGGTCAAAAACTGTCTTTATATTTAGAGACAAAAACGATCAGCCTATTTGCTGATTTCAATCATTTTTCATTATAATGCAAACTTTTAATTTTCCTGTAGAAAGAATAAAAAAAATCTAGTTTTTAGCCTTTTTGATGATAAGCCCATTTCACCCTGTTAGATTAAGACATTTGCAATAGATTTCCACACTATTAGTCTTTGAGAATTGTATCAAATTTAGTGTTTAAGCTATGAAAATTGTCTAAGATTATTATTGATGGACACTGAAGTTGCAAACCTTGCTTTACATTAATTTAGACATTTGTTCTGTAGACCATAAGTTAGGGGCTATAGATTCAGAATCGTGGAGGTACTAGCTGGCCTTAAAACTTGCTTTGAAATGCTACTAAATTCTAAAATAACTTCTGAATTGTTTGAGAGTCCAGTAGTTGATGTTTCAGACAAGAAGAGTGTGGACGAACCGAAACCCGTCACTGAGCCTGCCCCACAGAAGTCTGCCGAGGACCCAAACGTGGAGGATATTGTCAACACTGACTACGCCTTTGTTGAATTCACCCAGCAGTGAGTATCACACACAAACATATGCTGCAGTAAATGACTATTTCAAATTTTAAGTATCAAATTCAATGTATATGGGTTTAAGATTTACATCAGTCACAGGTAGAATTATATCATACATGTTTTGAGAAACAAATATTGACCAGACAAAATTTAGCGCAAATTTGCTCTCATTCAAGATGGCGAAAAGGTGAATATTCAACTACAATTAACACTTTCACGGTATAGAGTATGATAAATTACTCTACTGTATAAAGTAGCTTTCACGGTATAGAGTATGATAAATTACTTTACTCTACTGTATAAAGTAGCTTTCACGGTATAGAGTATGATAAATTACTCTACTGTATAAAGTAGCTTAAAGTAAAAACTTGCAACCATTATAAAAACTAGTTCCAAAACTATTTTTCACTGTATGCTTCATTTTTTAGGGTTTTTCTTTCTAATAAGTCTATCTTGAACTTAGATTTTAAAATGTTAGTAATTCTATCTTCCACCAAAATTTGGTTTGTACGTTTGTATGACTTTCACAATTAAACATTAATTAATTGGAATGCTGTTTATTTTAGCACTTGCTTTGTTCAAATATGTCCACATATCAGAAACGCAGTTCAAGAATTCTGTTGAATTTCAAGAAATCACCATCTCTGTTTACAGTGCATTTGTACTGTACATGATGTTATTAATGATATTCATCTATTGTATAAGGAAACAAAGTACAGAAATGGGATAGAATTTTCTAAAAATATATTTTGCAATGATAGATAGATTAAAACGATCCATTTCATTGATATCATTCGGGGAAGCTGGCACAGTTGCATTATCAATATCATTCTGGGTCTGGCAGATCTGTGCTTCAGTATCAGTACCATTCCATCTATTGGGAATCTGTGTCATTGTTTACCCAGACGGTTCTATAATTAACATTTATCACCAGCACCGGTCACCCGTGTGGTCTGGTCTACGTGTAAAGCCCTTTAAGGAGCCCGGCACCACTGCTTAAACCTGTAACTTATACTGCATTGGAAAACAATATGTTCTGGCAGGATTTGAATCACATTGTACTTTAGATTGATATACTATCACTCGTAACGCCCATGGTTCAATCTTGGTCTGGAGCTACGTGGTAAATTATATTATAGTACTTTGGACTCTTAGTTAATCATCTTTTTAAACAGTTTATTAGCTCAAAATTAAGCTTCATCATAATAAATGAGAATTGTCATATCAACAAAATATAAATTGTCAAATTAAAGAAATTTACATACCTATATATATTTTATAGTAACAACCAAAGTTTGTTTAGATGTTTATTTATAGTATCATGGCCTACTTATCTTTAGTCATAAAACTTTCCTGTGTCAATTGATTACCATGGTGATTCCCTAATTTTTGCTGATCTTGCTGATATAATTGTTTCCCTAAAAGAACCTTATTCGTTGACAGCCTTGACAGGGACACGGCCAGTGGCTTTCTGTCTGCTCTGGAACACATGCTCAACAGCCCAGTACCATTTGACCCTGCAGAGTGAGTATCTCTATTAAAGATAAAGAATTATCTTTCAAAATCTGAGAATAAAAATGAAAGTTCTTATCTTAAAACTAGTAGACATTTCTGAGTTTAGAATATTTCTAGAATTTGCTTACAAGATTTAATTGGTGATAGAAAGAAAACATAATAAAGATGATGTCCGTTTCATTGTTTATTTTTTTTTCACTAACAGGAAGTAAAATTATATTTATATATGAGGATAACATTATAGCTGAGTTCAAAATCATAATTGTAAGTTTTTAGCTTTTAATTCTTTACAACATATTTTCTATATTTATAGGGACTATGAGAATCGGGTGACATTTTATGTCAATGAAAAACTGACTCACATGAATGCTTCCACCGTAGCGCAACTTGTTGGTGAGTACAGAATACATATTGATTACTTAATTTATTTCCTCTCTCAAATAAAGAGGGTCAGTTATTTATATAAATACATCTGCATCTCCGGGATCCACAATTCACAATGAAAGTTATCTCAAAATAAATCAAATGCAAGTATTCTTTGAAAGACCTTTATCAAAATATCAGATGATTCAAATCACGATTGAGGAATATATACTACACTAATACACCCAAATATAGGTCACTGTAACCTTATTTCCACCTGACTAACTTTAGTTAGACTTAACATTTTGGTCAATTTCAACCAAAGTGGAAGCAAGAGCACATGTATGTTTTAGAAACATATTTGATGTTTTTCAATTCAATAAAATGGGCGATATATTTGTGGTTTATTTTTATTTATAATCAGTTAAACTGTTGGATATATTGCATTATGTTTTAAAGAAAGATAATCAGAATAATTAAAAATCAATCTGAAATAATTGTAGCTTAGAATTTGTTATGTTGATACAAAGCTTTCAATATCTGTATCAGAAATGTTTACACGGCTGTAGAGAGGATGTCAAACTCCAATCAACGAAATAGGAGAATTCATTGTTAACGCCACTTAACTGTAGTTATCTCCCCTGCAGGCCTGTCTGCACTATCTAAGGTCTCAATCCTGTAAATCTGAAGCCTCTTTGGTAAATCACTTATAATTTAGACTTATTTGTACCTGAAGGTAAAGTTGTAGGTCTTCCAATTACACGCAGTTCACTTTGCTTTGGTTTCTATAAGTTCAATGTACTTTTCATACCCTCAATAAGTGAATAGGGTATATCGTATTTGGTTTGGGTAAGCATGTGTCTCCAGTAAAAAGCTTGTCTTTAAGATCATGAACCCCTCAACAGATTGAATTCATATGTACAACAATGATTGATATCATAGATTTCTACACCAAATAAGATTCTGGTAGTCATAGGTAAAAAAAAAAGGTCAAAGGTCATATTTGGCAAATGTTTGAAGTAAAAATGTTATGTGAAATATACCTGGCAAACGCCTGAAAAAATATATTTTATATTTATATTATAGTAGAGTAACAAGTTCTGCAGTTGTTAAATTGTTCTGGTCATTGGTCAAAGTGGAAGGTCAAACTTGACCGTTTTAAGGAAGGGAGGCATATTTTTGTGATCCCTGCGCTTGTATTTATGATGCTCTTTGAAAACAATACTTTGATTGATGATTTTTCCTTTGGAAGAGGAATCAAAGTGTCTATTGATTTTGAGGCTTCTAGGTGACTAATCGAGGTCAAATAGCTAGTTAAATTGACTAGCTTCTGTATTATGTTCACTTCTGGAATCTGATCTGGTTTCTTTTCCAGCAATGTTAATAGGGCATATGTCCCCACACCAGGAGTTTAATTGCGTACAAATCGTAAAATTTAAACATCTGTTATGATGCTACATTGTCTGTAATTGAGGATCAAGAAGTCTTAAGGCAAGAAGGTTCAAACTGTCATGGTCACTAATTCAGAACTGTAACCAAGGTGATGGGAGGTGTGCATCAACCAGCTGATTAACAGTTGTGTTTAATGAAAACCTGTACCTTTAAATGGCCTACTAGGAATTGATACACTGGCCACTCTGGTAGAAATATATGTATGACAACCATTCATAAAGCTTAGATGTGTGAACATACAGCATGCATGATGAAGATAAACTCTTTTCATTTTCTCTTTCCAAATATAGAGAAATGGTATGGGTTAATTAAACACCTTTGAATTTTTTATGAATGTGAATAATTTTAACTTTATAGTCTGTAATAGCTACTGGGCAACATAGTGAGAGAATAACTGAAAACTGCTAATCATAACATATTGATGTGGGACAAATATTGAATGAAAAGCTTTCAGCTTTTGAGGTTGACAAGGATATATATGTACCTACATATACAAATATTGTAATTAAGAATACTTGGTACGGAACAAAGGCAGAACACTGGAGACATTAAATGAGGTTTTCGTCATTGTGTAGGGGCTCTCTAGTAATATCGCTGATTCGGGGTACATCAGAACATGGGATAATTGACGCCCTAATTGAAAGGACGACGAGTGTACGGTGTGACAGACCCTCGGGAGACACCTCCTCCTCGCACAAAAGAGTTTTCATCACTGGGACTTAATAACATCCAATTAGGCAAGGTTTTGTTCTTGAGGCAGAACAACTTGTGTTATTTTCTCCGGTTATTTTCTCCTGCGGTATTGGGGGGAGGGACCGGAGATATAATGTCCACCGGAGCTAGCTCTCGTAGCTGTCTGGAAACTGTACTGACAATAGCTCCGTCCACGTCCAGATACGTCTCCAGATCAGATGAGAAGAAAAGATACACTAATGAAAGAAAACCAGTAGAAAATCAATATCCAGGTAAAAATAATTGGAAACTGTAATGTGATGGTCACATTTCCAGACACTGGAAGTACGGTTTATGATAGGCAGGGTTGTATATCCCCGGTCTTCAGTGATCCAGGCATCACAAAGATATCATAAAACGATACATCTTAATATCATGGTAGTCGGAAGATCGTCTATCTTATTATTCAAACCTTGTCCATAGTGTCCATTGTGTACGTAAATAACAAAAAATCCACGCGATTTTAAGGTTGCAACCATGACACTTATTAGGGTTGAATAATAACAAATATTCAACAGAAATAATGAAAAGAAATTTCTATTCCAAATTCTTCTTTTCCTTTCGAAAGTCATTTCAGTATTCAGGCCAAACGATGATAAAGAAAACAAAATAAAAATCTTACACAGTTTATATATAATGACAGAATAATGAATGCGTCCGGCGTCAATATTTTACTTTAAACGACTTCTTCATAATAACCGTAAGGCCTACGGTGTCGTTTTTTGGCCAGAAGCAAACTGGGATGAAGGCCTCATTTTCAAGGTCACAGGGGTCAAATATGTTAAAATCTTTAAACATCTTCTTCTCGATAACCAAACTGCCCAGGGAGATGATATTTGTCCAGGAGCATGCTTGGGTGAAGGGCTACCAAGTTTGTTCAAATGAATGACCTTCAATTATATTCAAGGTCACAGGGGTCAATTGTCTTAAAAAAACTTTAAACAATTTCTTCTCAATAACCAAAACGCACAGGGTGATGATATTTGGCCAGTAGCATGCTAGGGTAACTGAGATATAAACTAGACTTCACCAGTGTTGTGTGGTAGTTGTGTAAAGCAGACTTAACCAGTGTTGTGTGGTGGTTGTGTAAAGCAGACTTAACCAGTGTTGTGTGGTGTTTGTGTAAAGCAGACTTAACCAGTGTAGTGTGGTAGTTGTGTAAAACAGACTTAACCAGTGTTGTGTGGTGGTTGTGTAAAGCAGACTTAACCAGTGCTGTGTGGTAGTTGTTTAAAGCAGACTTAACCAGTGCTGTGTGGTGGTTGTTTAAAGCAGACTTAACCAGTGCTGTGTGGTAGTTGTGTTAACCTGCCTTAACCAGTGTTGTGTGGTGGTTGTGTAAACCATACTTTGTACCCAGTGTTGTGTGGTAGTTGTGTAAACCAGACTTTGTACCCAGTGTTGTGTGTTAGTTGTGTAAACTAGACTAAACCAGTGTAGTGTGGTTGTTGTGTAAAGCAGATTTAACCAGTGTAGTGTGGTGGTTGTGTAAAGCAGACTTTACAAGTGTAGTGGGGTGGTTGTGTAAAACAGACTTAACCAGTGTAGTGTGGTAGTTGTGTAAATCAGACTTTACCAGTGTAGTGTGGTGGTTGTGTAAAGCAGACTTTACCAGTGTAGTGTGGTGGTTTTGTAAAGCAGACTTTACCAGTGTAGTGGGGTGGTTGTGTAAAACAGATTTAACCAGTGTAGTGTGGTAGTTGTGTAAAACAGACTTAACCATGCAGTGCTGTGTGGTAGTTGGGTAAAGCAGACTTTACCAGTGTAGTGTGGTGGTTGTGTAAAGCAGACTTAACCAGTGTTGTGTGGTGGTTGTGTAAAGCAGACTTAACCAGTGTTGTGTGGTTGTTGTGTAACGCAGACTTTGTACCCAGTGTAGTGTGGTAGTTGTGTAAACCAGATGTTGTATCCAGTGCTGTGTGGTAGTTGTGTAAACCAGACTTTGTACCCAGTGTTGTGTGGTAGTTGTGTAAAGCAGACTTAACCAGTGCGGTGTGGTAGTTGTTTAAAGCAGACTTAACCAGTGCTGTGTGGTGGTCGTGTAAAGCAGACTTAACCAGTGTTGTGTGGTTGTTGTGTAACGCAGACTTTGTACCCAGTGTGGTGTGGTGGTTGTGTAAACCATACTTTGTACCCAGTGTTGTGTGATAGTTATGTAAACCAGACTTTGTACCCAGGGTTGTGTGGTAGTTGTGTAAACGAGACTTTGTACCCAGTGTTGTGTGGTGGTTGTGTAAAACAGATTTAACCAGTGTAGTGTGGTTGTTGTGTAAAGCAGACTAAACCAGTGTAGTGTGGTGGTTGTTTAAAGCAGACTAAACCAGTGTAGTGTGGTGGTCGTTTAAAGCAGACTTAACCAGTGTTGTGTGGTATTTGTGTAAACCAGAGTTTGTATCCAGTGTTGTGTGGTAGTTGTGTAAACCTGCCTTAACCAGTGTTGTGTGGTAGTTGTGTAAACCAGACTTTGTACCCAGTGTTGTGCGGTAGTTGTATAAACCAGATGTTGTATACAGTGTTGTGTGGTGGTTGTGTAAACCAGATGTTGTATCCAGTGTTGTGTGGTAGTTGTGTTAACCTGCCTTAACCAGTGTTGTGTGGTGGTTGTGTAAAGCAGTCTTAACCAGTGCTGTGTGGTGGTTGTGTAAAGCAGACTTAACCAGTGTTGTGTGGTATTTGTGTAAACCAGAGTTTGTACCCAGTGTTGTGTGGTAGTTGTGTAAACCTGCCTTAGCCAGTGTTGTGTGGTAGTTGTGTAAACCAGCCTTTGTACCCAGTGTAGTGTGGTAGTTGTGTAAACCAGATGTTGTATACAGTGTTTTGTGGTAATTGTGTAAACCAGACTTTGT